TATTGAGAGGGGAGATGTCTTCTGTAACTAGCGTCCATAGTCTATGCCTCTACTGTTCTCTTTGCTGACTCCTGAGGACCACACCAGTGTGGACATGGCAGCGTGAAGCATCAAGAAGTTCATTCTTTCATTCTTTCATCCATTCACTCATTCATTCACTCACCCATCCAGTGCAGCGTGCGGCTCCACAGACGGCTGGCACAGCTCAGGGGACTGAATGGGCAAGAGAAGTCAGTGGGTATGGGGTGAGAACTGGCCCCGTTACCAAGGGAAAAAAGCCTCCTGGAACAAATGCTCTCACTACATAGGCCTAAACAAAATGTCACTTTGAGCCCAGCAGTAAGGGAGCAAAAATACCTGATTGAGAGGAATGTCCATTCAGTCAGTATGTAAACATCTGAAGGAAAGGTTTTACTAGAAAAAAAAAAAAGTTTGACTTAGGTAATTAAAGCCTTGTAATTTATTCAAGGGATCAAAAATACAGGACAAGTTTCTGAAAAAGGAAAACAGGAGTGATTTTCAGGATGACATAGCTCACTTCTCTAGCTCTGCTGGCTTCTGAGATGCAGAGAAATGCAGCAGGTTTATTTTTTATTAACAGCAATGTACTGGGATGCTGCCACGCCAGTGGGGACACATAGGTACAAAGGCACTTTTTGTCCCACCTTCTCTGTACATTAAGCAAGGGTAAAGTGGTTATTTAATTTGCATATTCAGGAAATGATTGTGTCCTTATACAACAACAAACATTTCATTTATGTACAAGAAGGCCTTTATTTTAAAATCCAGAGAAAAATTCCAGTGGGACAGAAATTCCACAGACTGTGGAATATTGTTAACAGGGTTAAGCACAACTGAGAAGGCTTGCTTATTTCTTTTGCCCTCCCACAGCAATGCCATAGGAAGTATTTTTGTCATTCCTTTGGCTATAGACAGAGCCAGCATCATTAGGTATCGTAATTACCGAAGTTTTCTGCTGAATGTTTGTTCTTCCCTGTTTCCTTATTTTTCTCTGTTTGTTTCTTTGGACTGCTAGCCCTCTCATGGCTTGAAGCAGCATAACATTTAAGCACCAGCCCTGACTGAATTCACTGAAATTTAGTATTTGCTTAATGTTGGGCCCATCACAGCAGTTCAGTCCAACAGCAAGCTCTGAGCAGAGCCCAAGTGGTTGTGTCAATGAAGACATAATCAATGCCACCAGGATGTGAATCACAAGGTTTATATTTCTACTTTCTGCCACAGTGAGGCCCGCAAAGAACTTAATTTTGCAGTGCTTTTATGATATAGTTCATTGCCTGTCTTTTACTGGAACCAGAACCTATATCTGTGGTTACAGAACTAGATGTGTATTTTCAAATCTACTTAGTTCAAAGAGTATGTTCATGAATAAAAAAAAACTTCTGGCTGTTTGCTACTGCATTCCAATACAGAGTGTAAGCAAATAGACAAATTAAAGTGAATTGGAGCTTTCAGTCCCTTCTCCCATGCAGCTATCCCTGGTGAATTTAACTGAATAAATGAATAAATCTCTTCTTTTAAATGAATACTGGAAAAGAGAAAATTTTGAAAATAGTACCAGTGACCGACCATAGCTCTCCTCTATTGAGAAGTAGTCTCTAATGAACTCTGAGGCTATAAATGGACCTCTGTATTTGAAAAAGGACTCTTTAAAACAATAGGGAATTCACACAATTCTATGAGGTCTAACCATAAATACACAGAAAGATGTACGGGATGGGTTTTCATTTATTCTGTTGCTCTTTTACATCCTTCCAACATTTAATAGTGCTTGGAGATCTCTGTATGTCCATTATATGTGGTGGTGTATAGAGCCTCTTAGATTGTTACAAAGGGAATTTAGTGTAACAATGAATAAGCCTTGTAATTTATTCAAGGGATCAAAAATACAGGACAAGTTTCTGAAAAAGGAAAACAGGAGTGATTTTCAGGATGACATAGCTCACTTCTCTAGCTCTGCTGGCTTCTGAGATGCAGAGAAATGCAGCAGGTTTATTTTTTATTAACAGCAATGTACTGGGATGCTGCCACGCCAGTGGGGACACATAGGTACAAAGGCACTTTTTGTCCCACCTTCTCTGTACATTAAGCAAGGGTAAAGTGGTTATTTAATTTGCATATTCAGGAAATGATTGTGTCCTTATACAACAACAAACATTTCATTTATGTACAAGAAGGCCTTTATTTTAAAATCCAGAGAAAAATTCCAGTGGGACAGAAATTCCACAGACTGTGGAATATTGTTAACAGGGTTAAGCACAACTGAGAAGGCTTGCTTATTTCTTTTGCCCTCCCACAGCAATGCCATAGGAAGTATTTTTGTCATTCCTTTGGCTATAGACAGAGCCAGCATCATTAGGTATCGTAATTACCGAAGTTTTCTGCTGAATGTTTGTTCTTCCCTGTTTCCTTATTTTTCTCTGTTTGTTTCTTTGGACTGCTAGCCCTCTCATGGCTTGAAGCAGCATAACATTTAAGCACCAGCCCTGACTGAATTCACTGAAATTTAGTATTTGCTTAATGTTGGGCCCATCACAGCAGTTCAGTCCAACAGCAAGCTCTGAGCAGAGCCCAAGTGGTTGTGTCAATGAAGACATAATCAATGCCACCAGGATGTGAATCACAAGGTTTATATTTCTACTTTCTGCCACAGTGAGGCCCGCAAAGAACTTAATTTTGCAGTGCTTTTATGATATAGTTCATTGCCTGTCTTTTACTGGAACCAGAACCTATATCTGTGGTTACAGAACTAGATGTGTATTTTCAAATCTACTTAGTTCAAAGAGTATGTTCATGAATAAAAAAAAACTTCTGGCTGTTTGCTACTGCATTCCAATACAGAGTGTAAGCAAATAGACAAATTAAAGTGAATTGGAGCTTTCAGTCCCTTCTCCCATGCAGCTATCCCTGGTGAATTTAACTGAATAAATGAATAAATCTCTTCTTTTAAATGAATACTGGAAAAGAGAAAATTTTGAAAATAGTACCAGTGACCGACCATAGCTCTCCTCTATTGAGAAGTAGTCTCTAATGAACTCTGAGGCTATAAATGGACCTCTGTATTTGAAAAAGGACTCTTTAAAACAATAGGGAATTCACACAATTCTATGAGGTCTAACCATAAATACACAGAAAGATGTACGGGATGGGTTTTCATTTATTCTGTTGCTCTTTTACATCCTTCCAACATTTAATAGTGCTTGGAGATCTCTGTATGTCCATTATATGTGGTGGTGTATAGAGCCTCTTAGATTGTTACAAAGGGAATTTAGTGTAACAATGAATAAAAAAAACCCCAAAACTGCATGACAGAGGCATATTGTGTTTCGGGGTTGTAGGTGCTGTGGCAGATACTCAGTTATGACACCCAGATAATTGCTGATGACAAATACTGTATTCTAAAGCTGCTGCATTCCCACAAAGGGACCTTTGTTTGGCCCTGTGGATGTAAGGAGGACCTCCTGCTGCTCTGCTGCCAGCACACTGCCATCACTGAACCCACATTTCCAGTGAGTGTTAACCCACCCGCACACAGAGCAAGAAGTCAGAAGACCTCACACCGGGAGCGCACAGAGAGCAGCTGTACACAAAACTCCAAAGAGAAAGTTTGCTGGAGCCCCACAGCCCATTATTTGAAAAAGCTGATATGAATATGCCGGCACGCTCGTGAAGCGATGCTCCAGAGGCATTTCAGCAGCAAGTAAATGCAGTGCTCTCCATACATGTCTGTGCACTGCCTGACAGGAGACTCAGTCCGGTTCTTCTAAGTCTCACTTTCAGATAGCACTGTCTTCTCCGGAGTGGTATCAGAAATAACCAGGATTTATAAAACCAGGGGGCTAAAGGAGAACTTCTTGCTAAAGAACGTCATGCTGGATATCTCTCAAGTGTGTATTTTAAAGTGGTTTGATTTTCAGAAGGTTAGAGTGTAGTCAGTTTCTGTACAGGGGAGTACACTGTGTTCTGCTCTTTGAAAAACAGGATGCACACACATATGTATATGTGTGTTTATATATATATTTATCTATACACACACCGAGACATACACACTTGGGAGTCTAATTTCATGCTTCCAGGTGCAAATATTTTGACTTGTGTCTTTTGTATCCACATATCCCATGACAAATACCTACATAAGATACATACACTAAATAAACATACGGTACTGCTAATAGCCCAAAGGTGTTATTTGCCCTATAATAGGCACTATTTGCCACACTGTATAGAACGCCTGCCCCGAATCCTATGGTTGCTTTGTATCTGTGTTGCAGTGAATCTATCTCACAAGGCTGAGGATGGGCACCACGCCATCCTAACAGATGGGTCTGACAGCCAGAAGACCATGTATGTGCATCCAGTGTGGGTGAGACCGATGGGATTCTTTGCCAGGGAGATCTAAACAGCTGTCTGTTTTGGCTGTACCTACTCCAAGGAGAAGGATGTAGGCTTACATTACATGAGGTTTATGCAAGCACAGTGATTGGAGGGGGAGTGTCACGTGTGTAGAGAAAAATCCATTCAAATAGCTACAAATCAAAGCCATCCACTGAGAAAAAGTGAGGCAGTGTTATAGCACTCCACACCCCTCTGCCTCCCCTCAGGAAGACCAAGCAAAACTCGTCGTGACAAGTTAATTTGTCTGAACATGTCGGCAAGGGTGCAGAAACCTGTTGCGCAGGCTTTCTTCCTGTCCCAGAGGCACATAATATTCGGTAAAACAAAGGCCTGACTTTCAAATACTGTGCAGATTCTGCTCTTCTATTTTCTATTAAAATCTGCTGAATAAAGTAACAAGTCCTTTCAGCACAAAGAACACGAATTTAGCTTGTGTCTTTTAAAACATAATTTAAAATGTCCTGTGAACAATTACGTATTTGCATGCGTAGCAGTTAAAATACTTTTTTCAGAAATTACCCCCTTACAGAATTTGCATCCTCAGGTCAGGCCTGTGTGTATTAATACAGAGCTGAAGAAAAACATCATACAAGCTGGATTTATTCAGTGCTCTGAAAGGTTCAAGCACAATCAGTGTCATTTTCTTCACTGTCATGAATTCCATTCATATACTCACACCCAGGAAAATCTACATAAAAATAAAGTCTACCATCTAAAAAAAAAATAAGCGGTACCTCAACTATTGTCTTGAACTAATTTTTCACTAAAATTTATACATTGATCAGAGATTTAGCATGGGCCATGGAGTGACCAGTGCAATTAGGCTATGGAAAAACATATTTCAGTACAACATATACATTTTTTAGAACACCAAGTGTTCAGAAAACCAACTGAACCGTACAAAGTGTGTACAGGAAAACAAAGAGGGAAAGCATAGCCACATGAAGGTGAGTAAGATACATGAGGAGAATGACAGAAGTTCTTCCTACACGCAAGCTTAAGAGGTAGGTAGACCAAGGGAGCTGGGAAGCATGAAAAATAGTTGGCATAAGGTATTGTTAGCAGTTTTATAAAAAATCATCAGGTTTCCTTCTAAATTAAAAAGCCAGATTCCTATCCCTACAGACATTAAAGGAAATTTTGTAACAGGTTGCTTAGGATGGGTGTTTTGCTCCACCCCACAGCGATCACCCAGGATGGATCATACTTTCAAAGGAGCAGCTTCCCACCATGAGTGCAACAGCAATGAAAAAAGAAAGTTAAATTCTAAGGCAGCTGTAGCCACCTTGTTGAAAATGGCAATTTAATATTCTGGCAGCATGGGAAACCAAGGAGCAGTAAACCAGCTTCCTTCCTGCGGGAGCAGCTGCTTTTCAGTAGCTTTTATTGTGTTTTGTTTATTGAATTAACCTTTGAGAGCAGTGAAAAGAGGGTTGTTTTTGGAACGTGCAAAGTATTACAGAACCCGGCCACAATGCAAACCTGTGGCAACAACGAATTTGGACTTGTGCTTGCCCTGAGGGTGCAAGAAGAGGGCAAAGGTGACATAGAGGAACTTTACGCCACCTTATTTGTTGTACTGATGTAGCCACCAGCACAAGCTACCCGCTGCCTCCAGGGCTCTTCTGGCATCTGAGGACAGCTGAGATGTTTATACATTGCAGTCAGTCTTTGGTTTTTTGCGACATTGCCTCCTGCATCCTGAGGTATGGAGCTACCACAGGACTCCTAAGGCCCACATATTCCTTATAGAGAAAATTTTCTCAGAGAGAGTCCATCTTTATGGAACCAATCTACAGCTTTAGCAGGGCAACGCACTCACAAGTGTGTGTGCGCATATACCACCTATTTTTAAGTCCACCTTTTAAACTGTAAAATGTACTTCAGAACTTTTTGATATCTTGAAAACACAGTCATTTTACTTCTCAAAGCTTCTGAAAACCTCTAAGCTCAGGAACATACTGTATTATTATCTAGATGATATCAATACATTAATATCCTGCCTTTTGCCATCTCAGATATTTTTTATTTGGTCTTTGGAGCCATTTTATTATAAACTCAATTCATCAAATAAAAAGTGTTTCTTTCCATGTACCCTTCAAAATTCCCAGAGTTCTTTTAAAAGAAGGACAAGCACAATCTAAAAGGCATTGCCTTTTAAAATATATTACATTATTTTATATAGTGCCTTATTTGTAATTACAGAACCTGCTGTCTATTATAGACCTTGTAGATATGTAAAAATTAATTGAAAAGTTAATGTTTAACCACATACTATCACTCAAATTGTAAATTAATGGTTACATTGGAAGAGGTAAATCAGGAGATATTTCCAATCAAAATAAATCACATAGGCTAAATGATTGTACCGTTTAGAGATTCAGATAAATTGCTTTTCTCTTGTACACGGACATGTTCTACAGATTACAAAGCAGACATGTTAAGAATAAGCTAGTGGTGTAATTCTTTAATGTTTGATGTAATCCTGCATACCTAATTCCTAGAATAACTTGCGTTATTCAGTAAACTGCACCTTAAGGGACTGCTCTTTAAAAAAGAAAAAAAAAACAGGTATTTTTTTTTAATTTCACAGTGATTCCAATACATTATTTCGAGCAAGAAGAACCTTATTAGTAATAGGCATCAAGATACTCCGATTTAAAGGATGGGAAAGTTGGCAAGCTGTGAAATGAGAAGTTACAAAATTTGCCTGACAGAAAAATAGTGCTTTGAAAGCTATAGACTGGTCTATAACATGGTCTTTGTCCCCTTCTCACACCCTCCCCCCCCAAAAAAAAACCAACCCAAAATAACCCCACAAAAGCTTGCAGTCCAGGATATTTTTCTTAATGTCTGTGTATAACTGTAACCCATAAAACTCTTTCTTGGGGGTAAATATTTTTAATAGGCTGCATATTGCACAAGCGATGCTCTCATTCCTAGTGGAATTGCAGTGGAAGCCTCAAAATGTATTAGACCTAGGTATTGGGTGTACTAGCACCTTCTCTATCTCCAGTCCTAATTAATTATACTCCTTCTCCTGAAATTATTCTAAAGAAAACCAATTTTGAAGGAAATCTTTCTTATGTTTGCAAATCTGGATTTTTTTTTCTCTTTCTGATTGTGCTGCCTAAACCAAAGAAGAACAAAATACTTGAGGATAAGAGAAAAAAGTGTGAGAAACTGGAAAGTGAGTGATGTCACATGTTACTCTCAATAAAAACATTAACTAATATAACTCTCATGAAACTAAGAGTAGTAAATGTGCATTTCATGTTTAACAGAGATTCAAAGATGTTAATCTATTTTCTGGCCAAAAAATGGTTCTTCTTTATATTCAAGTGATCTGTGAAAACATATCTTCACTCTTCTGCTCAGCAGTAAGAGAAATCTTTTTTCCAGAAGACATGCTGCTACAGAAAAGTAAGAGAGAAAGGAAGCTGGAATTAGAATAAAAGTGAGCATTATAACTTAGAAGACAATTTGTAAAAGCAGAAACATATTTATTTTCACATTCTCATTTTGAAAGTATCTCATATGTTCATATTAATAAAAGGCAAAACCACCAATTGAACCCGTTGATAATATTTATCCTGCTGCCCATTTTATCACCTCCAGTTGCCATTTCCTTGACAAGACATTGCACGTCAATTAAGAATGGTAGTAATTTCTGATGGAGTGGAATAATTTGTAACAGGAGCAAGATTTTAAAAAACATGCTAAGAGTATCAAAACTCATAAGGTACCAGATGTTCATCAGCAAGCTCCCTGTGTAGTAAAACAGGATCTCATTATAAAATCAGGAAGTATGTAAATAATCCCAAAATGGTGAAAAATTTAATAAAGATAGCTCATCAACAGACTGATAGGAGTGGGAGTAATGTTATGCAAATTAAGCTCACAGTTCTTCTACATCAAAGGAACTATCAAAGCCAAATCAGAGAGGAAGGAACCATTACCATCTGCAATTCAGATCATCACTTGTGGTCCCATCATCAAACTTAAGAAACATTGGAACATCCTATTATTAATTCTTAACAAAAAGAAAAGCAGCACCACTCACCCTGTTACATATTTTAGCTCAGATGCCACAAGTTACTGAGAGCTGAGGACACTAAAGGCTTCTTAAGGTTGGGGTCTAACTTTTAAAATGGCAAGACTATGCCCTATGCAGCTGTCCAGTAGTGCTATCGCATAGCAGAGCCCTCCTGCAAGTCCTCAACTTGTAGAAAATAAGAGATCAGCCCACGTCATGATCCTGACCTGCCTGACAGGCAGGACAGCAAAGTGAGAAGGTAAAATATCCTATACCTTGTAAAGCACCTGAAGTAGATAATTTGCAGAAAGATGGGAACCGAAGGGGGAAACTAATATTTGGTCAGGTCTGTGCAATTAAACTACTTGTAGAGTTTGACACTAGCTTTTGAGTTTTGCCTCCCTGCATTTTATTTCTGGGTGTGTGCATCAAAGGGAATGTAAAAAGAAGACATGTATTTGTTCAGGAAGGGTCCTTACCATGTAATGTCAGTTGGTAAGGCAGCTGTTGTGAGAAAGCACTTCTTTGCTAAGACAGGAGTGTGGACTTGTTTGCCAGAGCGTTTCCATTTCACACTGAGACTGGCTGAGCTCTTCTCTGTTGCCATCAAGTGCTTCGTCGTGTTGCACCCGCAAGAGATGAATGCAAGGAAGACTTTATTCTGTATTCTTAAGCTAACTGTGCCTCTCTTCTGGCCATGTGAGAAAGTAGTGATTTATGTTAGTGGGCAAGGTCTCTATGGTGTCAATAAAAGATCCATCTCTGGGTTCTTTTTTAAACTGTAGAAATTGCCTCTGCCTGGAACTTTTACGTGTCCATTTGATCTATACCTTATCAAATGTCATCTAGCTTTACTATGATTCAGATATCATTAATTAAAAACTCACCAAGGAGTAGATTCTGACAGCTGCTAACTCAGCAATGAAAAACCTGTTCCAATATTAATAGTAATCAGTAAGATCAGTTCTTCTTATGGTGCTCTTGTGACCCAAAGAAGAGGGAGCAAAGGGAGGAAATCTTTATATATATATTAGTTCTTCAGGACAGATTATTTTTGGACCTCTTTAGACATCTTTTTTTCAGCTTTCTCTCAAATATAGCAGCTCACTAGAGAAAGACAAAGGTGTCCGTGAAGCCACTGTGACGGCGCCTGAGCCCTTGTCTCCTCAGTGCCTCGAGAGTAGACAATCCACAGAGCCCTCCTCAGCCGCTCTTCTCCACCGATGACATGAGTCCTTGCAGATTAGTGGCTTTCAAATTTTAGCAAGAAGATCACAAGACATCAGAAGATCACAAAGCATTTGAAGATAGCCAAAAAAAAGTAAAGTAAGAAAAAAACCTGAAGAGACTATGCATGGATTCCCAGGCAAGCAGGCAATAAAATGTGACAAAGAGTACTAAAATGACATACAAAGTTTAAGCTAATTTAATTTGATTTTATGTAAAGACCAGTATTATATTTTCATAAGTTTGTCCATGGATTTTATTAAAAACAAAAAAAAAAAAAAAAGGATGTTCCCTCACTTTACAGAAGTTGAAGAGCCATGGGACATAGACACACAACTCACACCAATGGACTTTTGGCTCAGAAGTGTGCGTCCAGTTTGGAAGGTTCCTTACCTCACAGGATTTAGGCAGAGGGTCTGGTAGCACATGTATAATTGATGGAAAACATCTCACCTTCAATTTCTCAGCACTTAAGACAGAAAAACAAACATCTCACTGTGAAACAGATCTAGAAGTGCATCAAAATAAGCAGTAGACTTTGAAAGCACATAAAATGCATGCTATCTGGATTTACCTATAGCCAAAGCTATATGACTAGCTTTCTAAAGCCAGATGATCCAAATATTTGTATAACAAAGAAAGCTTCTGTCCTTGTTGGAATATTTGACTGTTTCTACAGGAACAGATGTATCACTGTACATTTTACACTGATATTGTTACATCAATACACAGCCATTAAAATGGCACCAATCTTTGAATGGCTATAATTGTTCTAGATTAAAAGAAGCCTTTCACTGTAGTTAAAACTCATTCTAAAGCAACATAGTATAAAGTGAAGAAAATATTCTGTTTTTACAAAAGGAATCATGCTGATATAAAAACTACTGTATAAATTGATGTTATCAAGTGCAGTATTATTTTCCACATGAAAAAATTCTTTGATAAATTTCTTCAAAGGAGAAAATAAGCAAGTCACAGAGTAAAGGGCAATTAGAAAAGGGTAAACTGAGGAAGAGGAGTGGAGAGGAGAGGAGAGGAGAGGAATCACTGTTCAACTTCTGTTGTGCTGGTATTTGATTTGAATGAGGAAAGGCACTATACTAAGACCATCATTATCTACTCAATTTCTTAGTGATCTGAAAGAGAGAGATTAGTAAAGTGTAAATATTCATAAATTACTTAGATTAATGCATGTGCAGGGCAGTCTAAACATTTTAATGATGCATTTCATTCTGTAAAATTACAGGTCTGGAAAACACCTGAAGAGGTCATCCAATTTAGAACACCCTCCCAAGGCAGGGAGAACAAAATCTGTTTCACTGCTTACACTTACTTTTTCAAGCTTTTTCCAAACTTTTTATGTTTATAGAAGTACAGATTTATGTCCATACTTTCAATCAAATTAGTTCTAATTTTTTATTTTATTTATTTCTAAGCTTTCTTACTTTGTTGGTATTATCATATCAGAACTAAAAAAACCCAACCTTATGAAGATGTAAAACTTTTATTCCTCCACCAATCTTAATGTAATAAATCCCCATTTTTGCACAAGTATAAGATAAGGATATTATAAAGGTGCAACAAAGGTATTTGAGTTACATGAAATTTTTAGATGGATTGACACAACTCACAGTTTAGACTAAAGTAAGATTATGTCACCAATTTACATAATACTAATACTAGAACTTAAAATACTATTGTATAAATATATTAGAAACCCTCAGCTTGAGATGAACTATGAAATATGTTCAGCTTTTAGTACACTGTGTGATACAAAAGGTAAAGGAGCAACAGAATCCAGAAAAAATGAACAACATTTTTTAGAAGCATAAAATCGCATACATAGGAATGTATGTTAAAAAGTATGACCACTTAAGAGACAGAGACAGTTATTTGCATAACTGCAAATGTGGTCAACAGAATGGAAAGAGTAAGAAGGACTTGTACATTACTGTTTTCTCTAAGGCAAAAGAAATAACCTCTTTAATGAAAAACCAGTATGTTCAAAACCAATCAAAAGAAACAATTTCTAGGCCTCATAATATTTTAAAATAAGATTTCTGTAGCCATAGTGTTCTAAGGATGTAAGAGAAACTCAATTTCTAGTGAGAATCAAGTCTTTTAAAGTCAACTAATGTTGCTAGCATAAAAATTTTAAGGTATACAAGACTACTTCAGCTGGTTTGAAGAATGTGTGTGTCTAAAAGCTCGTCTGGCTTTTCCAGTTGCACCAGCTCATCTAATCAAAGATTCCACCTTTTCCTACTTAGTTTTCCAATTAACTTTTATCACCTACAGGTACAAGAGTCACAATGTATATATATGTTAAGGGATAGTGATGCTTGTGGTTTAGGATTTATGATAGCAGTATGAGGCCCAAAAGAAACTTTCAGTATTGGTAAAACTATTACTTTATTTCATTGTAGCATTTGGTATCTATTGCTCTCTGAAACAAGACATGGGACTACATTTCACACAAGCATTTTCACTCTTTATGGCACGTGGCTTGTGTTTAGTGAATAGATAAAAATCCTTCCATTGTAATCATACTGCTCACAATTTCATATGGAAGTCACCAGTCACTGGAAAACCAAACAATTTTGTCATTTATAACTGTTCATTTTACAGAAAACATGAATATCACTAAGTTGCATGTTTAACCCAGCGCGGCAAACTATCCTTTATCCCCACCTTCTCTCCCATCTACTCAATCAATTCATTCAGAAAGTGTGTTACAAAAAGCCTGCTGAAGCCTTATGAAGCAGTTCTTCGTCTCAACTGCTCATCTTTGGTTTCAGCTGCCACCACATTTCTCCACTTTTGGAAGTAGTTTTATTTTGTCTATTTTGAGTGGCCTTGTTCACAAAACCTCAACATTAATACAAGCAAAATTTCGTTCTTTGGGATGTTTGCAATATTCAGTTTTTCACTGAATACTCCATTACCTAGTTTTAAATAATCTAAATATCTTGCCATATGTGAAAATACTAATACTCTTAGATATATAAAAATATTAATAAGAAATAACTATTTCTTGAATATCATTTAGAAATAAAAATACCATTGGTGAATCAATGAGAAACAATGTTTCTAAATACATTACAAAGAATGAATTTGCCTCATGAATGAATGATGAAGGAGTTAATTTATTTCCTTATGTATGAAAAAGGAGGAAACTAGATCTTAATCCTGCCAAGGAATCACAGTTGGAGAGAACTGATGGCTTAAAGCTAGTACAGAAAAAATGGCATAAAAGGAGCAAGGGCTTGATTCCTCCCCTTCAATAAAAAAAAATAAAATATATATTTCAGAAAAAAACCTTGCATCCAAAAGTTCATAAACAGATATAGGAAATTGTTTAGAATGCTTCATTGTTGTGCTTGATGCCATATTTAGGGACACCCCTCCCCCCAAAAAATGCCCACCAGATGTTTTGAAAAGCTGGTAAAAGTATTTCTGTCTTTGAATGCTATATATAACAGATTTGAAACAGAATGGTTGTGTTAAATAGTAGATACATTTATCAAATACAGCAGAAGATATAACAGATGAAACCCACAGTGATGCATAGAATTTGAGAGCTTGTGAGTAATTATAATCCTTGTAGTAGATGTTCATATGGAGTGAAGTGATTGGAAATACAATTATTTTCCACCTCAAAAGGATAAAGCCACACGCTAACTCCCTTGCATGCTATGAAATATGACAAAAGTTAAGCCAGTGGAAAAAAAGAGGAATTAATGAATAAGATAACTAAAGTACTTTGTACTGCAATTTTGTCATGAAAGTTGGTCTGGGCCCTCTTTAGTCACGGGGTGACACTTGGTGAAAATAGCATGACAGAAGATAATTTCCTACATGTCTTCCAATTCTAACTTCTTACACCCTTACATTATCTGCATTTGTAAGAAATAAATTATTTTTGTGGTATGATAAATTTTTCAAACCTGTGCATCAGAACATCAGAAATTATTACTTCTAGGTGAACTAATGCTTTAATAAAACTATTATCACCCTCAAGATGGCTGACTGGATTTGGTCCTCTCCTGTAGCATAACAATAACTTTTATATCTCATTGTTTTTAGACCTGATTTTTAATTATTACAGAAGCTTAGAAATTAGTCACTATAGTCAACTGCAGAAATAGACAGTAATTCAGAGTAATCAAATTCCACAAAACAGACATGAATGGAATGCCAGTAAAGTGACAAAATGCAATATGTATTGCAGCAAGTTCAAAAAGAATGGCTTTTTTCTGACAAAATGTCGAGGCAGGTTGTGATAGCAGTGGTATTGATTCATGGCTCAACCCGGCAATCAAAGCCTATGAAGAATGTTTTAAATGAGCAGACAGAGCTTGAAGCAACATGTTAGCTGAAATACCCAAGCACAGAAAAGTTGCTTTTGTAATGAAATGGTTGTTTGTCATGCAGTCTCCATAGTGTAATGAAGATCCTAAAATTCCAAAATTAGCTAAAGGACACAATTTGGACCTAACATTCACTGCATGCTGCAAAGACAAGTCATCACATGAGCTGCTGTCATCCCTATGGAAGGCACCTTTGTAAAGCCCTTGCAGACACGAGAAATCAAAAACTTCTTAAAAGCTATGCAAATTTCCGTACCTATTGGACAAGTGTGTAAGTCTAGGGGAAACCTGAGCCAATAAAGTCGGTAGCTGTCATGCAGGAAATACTTCTATTAGGTGAAAGCAGCAAATAGGGAAGAAATTTAGGCACAAAATTTAAATAGCAAAATTTCAAGTAATTTATTTGAGACCTGATATGAAATCTTTCACTAAAAAGCATTGATAACTTAATTTTAGGGCTTAGGTAAAAACATTAAACATTCACTTAGTAAATTAACTGAATTTGGTATTCATTGCATCTGCTTGTTACTGATCTGGTTGCTCCATTGCTAGAGATTTACTGTCAAAAAAGTCATTTCCCACCTCTTATCGATATGAAAGAGACAACTGGTGAAACTTCAAGGCTATGCACTAACAACAATGACAACTGGAATGACTGGATGTAGCCTTCTATCTGTAAAAGGATTATTTTGGGCTATTAATCTGCACCAAAGGGTAGACTTATTTTAGCAGAATTTAAAAATTAGCTTGTGTCATACAGTTATGCTAAGGCTTAGAAGTTTGTAAGCATTTCCTGGGAGCGCTGCCAACTGTATGCAGCTCCTGTCCCACATTATCTGCTCCTCTGCTGTGACAACTGAGAAGCAGGGATATGGTGTAAGCCACGCTGAGCATGTGATCTGTAAACTTGCTTTGTGTAGAAACAGCCCTTTATCCCAGAATGAAAGCATGCACGGATTACATCTTCAGTCTTGGGTGCAAGTATTGGCAAAGGGGCTAAGGACTAGAAAGACTTGGAAGCTGAAGCTCTGCGTTTCTGTCTTTAGAAACAGCAGCTGAGACCCTGGAGGGAATGCGGAACACCAAGTGACTCCGTGGGTCCTGAATGGTCTCCCAATTGCTGAGTATCTTAGGAAGCAACCGGCTCTACTGGGGTTAACATGCCAAGACCAGTATGTGCTGGATACCTTTCAGGGTCGACACCAAAAACTTACCACTGTTGTGCCCAAGGGTTCCACTCCAAGTAGCCTATTCAACTGAAAATAGGAAATTAGGACTACTGGTGAAATTAGCTGCTAAATTGAAAAGAGAGCAAGCACATGGGGAGAAAATGCTGGCATTTTGCTCAATTAGCTTATTGTGGTACAATAGGGAAAAGGGGATATACCAGGCAGGATGAAGGAAAATGAAAGAAGACTTGTCTTTTAATTGAAAAATTGGAGAGGACAGAAAAAAAACCAAACCCATTTATTTACTGCCCTGTATCCACAAAGCATTGCTGCAGCTGCTGCTCTTTTTTTTTTTTTCTGCTGAAAGCCAAGT